GATTCGTTAGTTGATCTCACTCGAAGACGACGGCCGATTCCCGTTGTTCTGCTGCCGTTTGGCTTTACTAAGACATCTTCACTTGTTTAGACTGAGCTTTGTTCCATCATATAATGGACAACATCCAAGCTGGAATACAACTCGCAAAGCATCAAGGTAACACTTGACCTGGGAGAGAATACTTTTTTGAAAAGCAAGGCTATGGGAAATACAATCTAGACGTGAGGTTTACTCATATGATTGTGGAAAAATTCAAGTACTAGTTCCACAATCATGACAAACGAAATCGGATGAGTACACTTCATATATTCCATCTACTGGTAGCCTCGAAAGCCTAATCAGAAAAGGAAGAATCACACTTGATCTAGTGTTAACTTGAGACTTCTACAAGTGTGACTTTCACTCCGGATGTATTCCATCAGATGAGGGACGAAAGCTGAGCCAAACCACGGCAGAACAACGGGAATCGTCCGTCGCCCTCCAGTGAGATAAACTAATGAATCTCTTCATTCTGAACTGTCCTACTAAATAAAGGTTATATGAAATGTATTCACACAATTTCGTTTAAGGTGATGAAGGACTGATAGAAGAAGAATTTTCCCACAATCATATGAGTAGAGCTGACGTTTCCATCAATTTCGCTTTGCCTTGTTATCTCAAAAGTTGTTCTCATCCAGACAGAACTGGACTGCAATTTAATATCATTGTGGGAAAATTCTTCTTCTACCAGTCCATCATCACTTTAAACGAAATAGGATGAATACATCTCATATTACTGATTTACTGGTAGTCGCGAAACTCTACTTAAATACGATAAATAAAAGTTGCCTAACAATGTTATCACAAGAGATCTTTGGATCTTTTCTTGGAAGTCTCTCTCTCTCTCTTGGCAAAGTGACAGACAAAGGGTCCCGGTACCGAGTGCTTGGTTGCAATTCGAGTCTTTCCTCCATTCGGACCTTGTGAAAGCAGAGAGGCCTTGCTAACCAACTTAATCAGACTGGCCAAGCCTTGTTGAAACCTGCTTTGACGTACCGTACGCCTACGTTTGTGTGTGTTTGTGTGTGAATTTGCATTTACAAAGTGAGAATAGGCTTTTGCATCGCTGACTTGTAACGACAATCAGACTATTTCCAACAGGGCGAAATCATACAGGCTACTTACTTCCTTCCATTTGGGGACCATCTACCTCTTTTTTCGAACCGTTTCATTCACACGCTCGGATCAGCCGGTCGTCCAAATCAGGCGGTTCGAGTGTTCTCATTTGTTCTACACTTGAGTAGCCTCACGACAATTTAATCTCCCCCTGGAGCCCTCTACTTCACGGTCATTCCAGCTTTTCCCACTGGTCCCACGGGCAAGGTTGATTGGTTTTGCAATTCGATCTTTCCACTGTGACGTCTTCCTTGTTTGCGGCACGTATCGGCAAGAAGCAGAAGAGATCCAAGCAATACCAGCAATATTGGAAAGCTTGGATTCTCATCTCAGCTTCCTCGTGGAATCTCACTTTATAGGATGCGTCGGAGGGACAGATGCCGGCCCATTTTGCGCGACGAGCTCGACAGGCGGCTTGTGTATTTCCCGGGGCCAAAACAATACGAGTCTTGCTGAACACAAGCCGGGCTGCCTGGGCAGTTTTGTGTGCTCCCCTGGCTCGCAGCCATCCTCCATAAAATGCATTCGCCTAAAAGATGTGTTTTTGGAGACTTATCTACCAACTCGCTGGTGAATTGATATGAATATCTGTTCCCCACATTGGCCAGTCCTATGCCGAAGTGCTCTCATCAGCGCAGCCGTGTGTGATTTACAACTTTCTATTGCTCCAATTCTATGCATAAACCATTGTATGCGTAAGAATGGGCATAGATTA